CATGCCTGATTTTTTTCTGGAGTATCTGGCTATAGACTTCCTTGCTTAACAGGTACAAATAATTTGTGCAATAAATATTGAATGAAATGAAGGTCATTTTCCCAAGAGCATCCTGCTGCAGGCCCAGGTTTCAGACTTGCCCAAGGTCTGCTTCCTTTCCTCACCATCAACGCTTCCCTTCCCATTTAGGAAGTATTACCAGTGCTGTCTCTGAAACAGATTTTGCATTCATCACTCTGTATCTCTTCCTCAAGTATCTCTCATCTGGATCTTTTTTTTTTTTTTAACATTTTCTGTTTTTTTAAAAAATTTATTTATTTTAAAGATTTTACTTATTTTTAGACAGAGGGAAGGGAGGGAGAAAGAGAAAACATCAATGTATGGTTGCCTCTCATGTGCCCCCCATTAGGGACCTGGCCCACAACACAGGCATGTGCCCTGACTGGGGATCGAACAAGTGACCCTTTCGTTCGAAGGCTGGCATTCAATCCACTGAGCCACACCAGCCGTGGCTGGATCTTTGCGATAGCCTCCTGACTGGCCTTCCTGCTTGGACTGTTGCGTCCCTGCAATCCCTTCTCCATACCAAAGTCATCTTTTAAAAATGCAGATCAGATTGTGTCAGTCCTCTGCTTAAAACCCTTCCATGGCTTCAAATAAAACCAAGGTGTCTTAGTTATTTACACATTCCTAAGGACTTACATGCTCTGGCCTCTCTCACATCTGAATTTTCCTCCTTCTAGTCTCTTCCTATCCTTCTCATTAATTTCCAGCCTTATTGGGCCTTCATTCTGTTGCTTGAACAGGACAAGCTCATTCCTGTCTCAGAGTCCTGTTCTAAATTTAACTGATACATAAATGCCACAGACTAGGGATGCTCCTTAGTTAACCTGTTCTAGCCCATATGGTACCAGATCAGTCTTTACTCTCTGCTGCCATCGTGGGGTCATTTAAAAGAATCACTGGCTTTAGAGAAATTAATCAGCTCTGGACTTTTAAGAATCCTGCATAGCACTGGCCCACGTGGTTCAGTTGGTTGAAGCATCATCAGTTGTTTGGGGTATCATCCCAAAGAATTGTGGGTTCGATCCCTGGTCATATGGTAAGGCAACCAATCTATGCTACTCTCTGACATCAGTGTATCTCTCCCTTTCTCTCTCTCTAAAAGCAATGAAAAAATATCTTTGGGTGATGATAAAAAAAAAAGAAAGAATTCTGCAGAAAGGTTAGAGTAATTTCACAGGTGTTCTTTATATTATTTTTGCTTTATAAGTTATATACAAATTGTGTATTATTTTAGTGTATCATAAAAACATAATAGAGAAAATAAGATATAAAAATACTATATAGCATATAACCACAAATATGTTAAAAATAAAAGTATTTTTAGATGTAAAGAGAATAAGTCTGGAAGAAAAAATCAATCTTAACAGTGGTTGTTATTTCAGGGTTGTGAAGTTTAGGTATGTTTTTTATTTTTGTATAATTATATGTTTTTTGCAATAAATATACAGTGCTTTATTTTATTTTATTTTTTAAAAATATATTATTTATTTATTTTTAGAGAAAAGGGAAGGAGAAAGAGTGGGAGAGAAACATCAATGTGTGGTTGCCTCTCGTGTGTCTCCTGCTGGGGACCTGGCCTGCAACCCAGGCATGTGCCCTGATTCAGAATCGAACCAGCGACCCTTTGCTTCACAGGCCTGCGCTCAATCCACTGAGCTACACCAGCCAGGGCTATTTTATTTATTTTAAATCTTCACCTGAGGATATGTTTATTGATTTTAGAGAGAGGAAAGGGGGGGGAATCATTGACGCGAGAGAAAAACTTTGATCAGTTGCCTCCCCATACACACCCTGAACCCACAACCTAGGTATGTGCCCTGCCTGGGGATTGAGCCTTCAGCCTTTTGCTGTGCAGGACTACAGTCCAACCAAGTGACCCGCCCAGCCAGGGCTGCATTGCTTTATTGGAAAAAAATCCTGAAGCTTAAATGACCCTCTGACCCTCAGGAAAGAGGATTTCTAAACCAGGGCTTTCTAAGTGAATCACTGAAACATGGAAAAAAGAGTTAGAAATTTTGTCTGTAGTGACTGATGGCATATTCATTTATAATTTTTACTTTTGTATATATAGTAATATAATATCTGTAATACATTAGTACAGAACTACATATATATAATTTATAAATACATATGCGTATATGTTGTTTATGTCCCAAACATTTTTTATGAGTTGGCCAATTAAAAAAAAATAGACTACTGAATTAAGTAGTGCTAATGAAGTTAAAAATATGTGCCTGGCTGGTGTAGCTCAGTGGATTGAGTGCGGGCTGTGAACCAAAGGATCGCTGGTTCCATTCCCAGTCAGGGCACATGCCTGGGTTGCAGGCCACATCCCCAGTGGGGGCTATGTGAGAGGCAACTACACACTGATGTTTCTCTCCCTCTCATTCTCCTTCCCTTCCCCCTCTCTAGAAAAATAAAATCTTAAAAAAAAAGAGTCTTTTCCCATTAAGGGTTCCATTGTTTTCCATGAGTAGTAAGTGATATCAAGATAAAAAAGATGTTAGAAAGCAAAAGGGGTAAATATGTGAGAAATAAAGATTGGATATCTTGTTAATTAAGCCAAATTGATTCTGCTAGAGGCATTATTCTTTTAAATACACATTTAACATAAATTGGGTACCTCTTGCAATCGTAATCATTTGGATTTCTAGGTGAAAACCTGAACTGTAATACACTGGGTCTTAAGCACAGTCCAGAAACAGTATTATAAAGACAGCTCTCTATCTGGCCACCTATCTAGTGATTTATTTAATGTGTGTTAGACAGTGGAGCCTCACTGAGAAGATACGCAGAGATTCGGCGTCAGGAATTTGCAGTGAGTATTGTGTCAAATTAGCAGGCTAAATATTAGAAGTGGAGATTCATAGCTTTTTATTAGAGCTGGTGTTACAGGAGGAGGGAATTACTCAATAAAAAAGGCAATTTGGCCACATACAGATGAATTATTAGAGAACAGGACCCATTAGTTTCTTGTAGGTCTTTTTGACCTGGCTGAGCCCCAAGAAGTAGACATATTAAAGATCAAACTGGCATGCTTTCATTTGAGGGTTATGGAAATAGCCCTCATTGATGAAGCAGCGCCTGAGAAGGAAATCCCAAGGCTTTTGTGAGTTAAACCATGGTTTTATTTAGCATTGAAGTTGAGGGCAAAGGCCTTCCTTTTGCTTTTAACAGCAGTTCTTTGAGATCCTGGTTGTTCCTTCTCTGTGATATTGTTCACTTCAACAATAAAATATCCCTCCCTGGATTACTCGTAACATTTTGTTTGAACCACTCCTTTGGTATTTACCGTGTAATTTCTAAGGGTGTAAGCTTGTGTGTGTGGTACTCTACCTAAGAGGTTGTAATCCGTAAGGTAGGTTCCCTCTCTTGTGCAACTTCACACCCACCGTGACGCCTGGCGCAATGCCCAGCACGCTGGCACTGAGGTTGTGAGAGAACCGCGTTGCCTGGCGCAGGGCTCTCCTCTGCTACCGTTTAGGGCAGATGATTCGTTGTTGTGAGGGGCGATCCTGTCCATGGCACGGTGTTTATTGGCATTCTGGCCTCTAGACACCCGTGCCCTCTCCCCCAGACATTGCCAAACGTCCTGGGTGTGTGTATGTGTACAAAGTCAGTCTTAGTTGAGAAATACTGTTCTAGAGATTGGGAAGTTTAGGTTCTAGTTCTGACTTTGCCATTCTCTCTCCATGTATAAGCGAACTGCGTGACCTGTAGGTCTTAAATTTCTTCTTTTTGAAAATGAGGATTAGGATTTATTGGGCACTTCATAAGGAACCTTTACTTAATGTCAATTTTGTATGTAGAAATTTCTGGGAATAACTTCCTTAGCCTTTAGCATTTTTCTCTAACTTAATTATTACCTCAGAAAGATTAGAACTATACTCCTAAAACTAATACAGAATAATATTGTCTGTACACTTTAATTGAAAACTAAAATTAGCCTTGGCCGGATGGATCAGTTGGTTGGAGTGTCATCCTATACACCAAGAGGTGTCATTTGCTTTCTGGTCAGGGCACATACATACCCAGGTTGTGGGTTTGATCCCTGGTTGGGGCGTGTAGGGGAGGCAGCCGATCCGTGTTTCTCTCGCCCATTGATGTTTCTCCCCTTCTCCCTTTCTAAAATTAATAAACATAATTTCAGGTAAGGATTTTTTTTAAAAGGAAAAGAAAATTTTAAAAAAGATTAAAACTAGACTAGTTAATATACAAAGTTATTTTCATCTCTTAAGATACACAGATCCTAGCTTATGCTCAGTATATGTATTTTTTTCTTCCATGACCAACATTTGTGGCCATAAAGTACTGCCAGGACTTATTATAATGACAGGTACCACTTATTTATACTAGCGTTGCAATTCCTAGCCCTTTTTAGAAATAAGATTTTATGATGAGGTCAGGGAGTCCAGTCACTAACTAGCATGCGTGTTAGAGAGTCCGGATGGTGGAAAGGGTGTGTTTACTCTGCTCCTGAGCCTTTTTCTTGTTGTCATTAGCCTTTTAAAACCAGTGTGTTTCTTCTCCTTTCTGTGAATCCTCACCCAAGGGTGTGTTCACTGATTTTTTTTTTTTGAGAAAGGGGAACGGGGTAGGAGAAACAGCCCAGCCACCTGCCAGGGCCTCAACTGCGTGTTTCACATGGCTGTGTCGGCGCCTGTGCGGTCTCCTCTGTGTCAGCCGGTCACTATTTACGGGCCGCTCATGTTTCCGGCTCTGGAGTTTGGGCCCTCGGTGACCTTTGTTTCAGTTGCTGCTTCATGGAGTCCGTTGCATTTCTTAGTCTGTGCTGATTCTCAGATTTGAACCGAAATCTGGACAGCTTTGGCAGCTGGGGATGCACCTCTCAAGACATTTTTGCCACATCGTCACATTCGACTTGGCACTGTGCTACGGTGTGAACTGTGGCCCTGTTTTTCCCTCTCTTGCAGGTGAATTTGGAAGGCAAAGCCAGTCCTCTGTCACTCCTTCAAATGGCTTCCCCAAGTGGCTTCTGTGTCTTGGTTCGCTTGCCCAAGCTGATCTGTGGCGGAAGAACACTACCAAAAACACTGTTGAATATTTTGGCAGATGGCACTATTTTAAAAGTTGGAGTAGGATGTTCAGAAGATGCCGGCAAGCTTCTGCAGGACTATGGCCTTGTTGTTAAAGGGTGCCTGGACCTCCGCTACCTAGCCATGAGGCAGAGGTATGGTTTGTACGAATGCTCTGGGCTTCTTGTAGCTGTGGGACAGATACTGTAGCAAAATTTGTAGATTAAGGAAAGTCAATAATGAAGCATCTACAATTCACTACAAGCCTAGAGGCTTCTGAGATGCCTGTTGAATTTGTGAGCAAATATTCCAACTTCTGAGAAAACTTTAGTTAATTAGAATTGGCCTTTTTATTTTTACTTTTACTTTTATTTATTAAAGTATCCTTTTTCTTTTTAATCCTCACCTGCGGAATATGTTTATTGATTTTAGAGAGAGAAAGGGGAAGGGAGAGAGAGACACACATTGATGTGAAAGAGAAGAAATGTCAATTAGTTGCCTCTTATGTGTACCGTGACCAGGGATTGAACCCATAACTTAGGTATGTGCCCTGACCAGGAATTGAACCTTCAGCCTTTGGGTGTATAGGACGATGCTCCAACTAACTGAGCCACCCAGCCAGAGCTAGAATTGGTCTTTGTAAATGAAACATTTAATATACTCTCTCTATAAGCTACAGGTTATAAACTAATGGCCGCACTGGCTAAATGAGGGCCACAGATTAGTTTTGTTTTTGTTTTCTCCATATGGTGTTTTGGAAAATTTAGATACAGAAGATTTTATGTAAAAATCTGTTTTTCTGGCTTCTCTTGAAAAACTTGATGATTTGCCTATTCTAGGTCAGTAGTTCTAGACAGTAACAGCTGGCTGGGTAGCCCTGTGCCCTTTAGATGAACATGCTCTGTTCAACTTGCCCAAGTCCCACTTTTCTCATTGTAACCGACACGTACCCTGAAGCATTCAAGTTTGGAAACCCTGCAGTAGGCCAAAATGATGGTAACTTTAATCCTTTACTGGGAGGAAGAAGGATTTTTCTTTCCCTTGGAACTCTATTTCTATGTTAAGTCTATTCTAAGTTTTTCTAAGGAGTTGCAATTACCTTTTCTAGTAAATATACAGGTCCTCATTTTTATTATGTGGACTGAAACAGTCACACTTCCTGCCTTAGGTGGCACTGATATTAAAAGTTTGGAGGATTCGTGGCCCTGGACAGGTGGCTCTGTTGGTGGGAGCATCGTCCCGATGCACCAAGGTTGTCTGGTTCGATCCTTGGTCAGGATCCATACAAGAATCAACCAGTGAGTGCATGAATAAGGAGAACAACAAGTTGATGTCCCTCTCCCACTTTCTCCCTCTCTCAAATCAATAAACAAAAGAAAAGTTTGGCCCAGGGAAGGATGGCTCAGTTGGTTGGAGCATCGTTCCATGTACCACAAGGTTGTGGGTTTAGTTCCTGTTCGGGGAACGTACCTAGGTTGTGGGTTTGGTCCCTGGACACTGTTTGTACGGGCAGCAACCGAGAGATATTTCTCTCTCTTACGTGGATGTCTCTCTCTGTCTCTCTCTCCCCTCCCTCACCCCCTTCTCTTTTCTCTAAAAGCACATCCTCAAGTGAGGGTTAAAAGAAAACGTTTGGAGGATTTGATAAACTAAAAGAAGGCCTGATTGAAATCTATGCTGGTCATAATTTTTTAGTATAAAATGGAATTTTATTTTAGCTTTGTAGTTTGGCTTATGTAAATAAGATCCTCATAAATAAGTATCCATTTTTTTCAAGGAGTACATTAAAAAATTGTGAACTCTATAAAAATACTCGGAATGTCACAGCAGAAGCCGCCTCCCCTGGGGCCCTCCTGCCCTCGGCACTGCTGCCCTGGAGGTGCCCGAGGTGCCCGAGGTTGCTCAGTCGCTGGAGGCGGTGTGTGCAGTGGCTTGGAGCTGACCCAGGAGCGGAGTGTGTGGGTCAGAGACCCAGCACTGCCACTTACTGGCTGAGTGGTTTTGGGCAAGTTTCCAAACTCACTATTCCTCTGTTCCCTCCTCTGTGAAGTAGAGGTCATAACGTTCCCACCCCAGAGGACTGATGTGAGGATTAAGTGAGATAAACCACGTAAAGAACTTAGAAATAGTGTTTGGAATATAGAGAATGCTGTGTAAAGTTTAACTATTACCGTCACCCCCAGTGTTTGTGGGATCAGTATGTGATTGGCTTGTTTCTCCCAAGTCTCTTTCTATGCAATTACAGCCCTCTCTGTGGATATGTAGACGTTAGTGGTGCTCTGAGTTCTGTTTGGCTATATGCAGAGTGGCCAAGTGTCAGAATAAGAATATGGCCAAAGCTGGATATTAGTGTGCATGAAGTTTTCTAGAAACAAAAATGAAGCACTTATCAGACCTTTCAGTGTTCATAAAATTTCATTAAATTTAAGAATTATTGTATTGTGGAGCACTTGAGTAATTAAAAAATGATACTATTGTTTAAAAAAATGTGACATTCTAGCCCTGGCTGGTGTGGCTCAGTGGATGGAGTGCCAGCCTGTGAACTAAGGGTCACTGGTTTGGTTCCCGGTCAGGGCACGTGACTGGGTTGTGGGCTGGTTCCCCAGTTGGAGGCATGTGTTAAAAAGAAAAAGTGACTTTCTAGTACAAGAATTACACTTAGCACCATTAGCTATATGGCATTCCTGATGTTTGCCTTAAGAAGTTGTTACTTTTAGTTGACTTCAGGGAGGAGCACATTTTTTTGTGGGGGTAGTGCTGTCTTCTTTTCTTCATACTTTTTACATTTTTCTTGTATGTTAACGGAAGATAATTTATTACAGAGACTGTAGTGTATGATTTTGGAATCTTTCCTAGTGAAACTTTGAAGTGGCAAAGGTGGCATCTTTTGTTTCATTTGTCATCAAGAAATGTGAAACTTTCCCAGATATGACACTTCATGTATTTATTTTTAGAGAGAGAGGAAGGGAGGGGAAAAGAGAGGAGGAGAAACGTCAGTGTGTGAGAGAAACTAACTGATTGCCTCTTGCACGCACTCTAACGGGACCGGGACTCCAACCGAGGCATGTGTCCCAACCAGGGATTGGACTGGGGATCTTTTGCTTTGCGGGACACTTTTGCTCAGTGCTCAAGCACTGAGCCATGCTGGCGAGGGCCCACATATGATGTTTTTAAAAGATTAATGAGGGTCGCCAGTTCGATTCCCAGTTGGCACAAGCCTGGGTTGTGGGCCAGGTCCCCAGTAGGGGGTATGCAAGAGGCAACCACACATGAATGTTTTTCTTTCTCTCTTTCTCCTTCTCTTACCCTTTCTAAAAATAAATAAATAAAATCTTTTTTAAAAAGAAGAGTAATGACCTAAATAGAATTAAATATCTAAAAATTGAGTACCGTCCTGCAGTGAGGGTAGTGATTACATTTGTACTTGCCGTCATGAAAGGAAGGTCTGAACCATTGAGCGGTAGAGCAAGTTGCAGAACAAGAGACAGAACAAATACCATAAAACTATACCCCTCCACCTAACTCTCTCTTACTTACTACTGTGCACAGAGAACTCTGGCGGGAGTGTGGGGTGGGGGGCGTTCACCGCTCCCCCGTTGTAGTGCTCTGTCGTTTCAACTTTTAATAGTAAGCCTTTATTACTTTTCTAATTTCTCATAAACAAAAAAAAAGTTTTATGTCTCTCCCAAATTCTTAAATTCTATTAATTGAACGAAGACCTTATGTATTTTACTTAAGTGTGTCTGGACCATTTTTTTTTCTTTTTAGACGGTACTTCTCTTGGGGGGTGTAATGCCTCGGTTTATTGCTTGTTTTTATAAGGAAAAACTTCCTTTTCTTCATCATTTTAATGATTTCATTTCCTTCAGGACTTGAGGGAACCCCGCATGTTTTAACACTGACATGAACCTCCACCTCCAAGCTTCCTGCTCTGAAGACTCTTCTGAGTCTCACTCTTGGAGACTGGAAGCGGAGCCCTGCTTTCATGGGCTGACATGTTCTTCATTTCACGGTTACCTCTGCTTGGAATCTCCAGTCCTGGGACAAATTCTTTTTTTTTTACCACCCCGCAGCTGTGTTACTCAGAAAGTGTTTGAAGAGCAGAAAGTTTCCTCGGTTTTATTGCCTTTTCGCCCCCTCAATGAAGGAGCCTTATCTTTTTTCACATTTGAAAACTAACAGCAAACAGTAGCCAACTCAGACAAATATAAAGGGGAAATATAATCATTCCAAATCCCACAACCAGAGATGATATCACTAACGTTTGATTAATTTCTTTCTAGAGAGGAAGAAAGTCATCTTTTTTTCCCTCTCTGTGATCACACACCTAAAATCACATGGAAATGAACCACAATGTATGTTTTCCTTCACATTCTCTTTGTTGCTTAACCAATATTCATGCATATCTTTTCACATCAATATGGACAGGTCCACCCACATCCTTATTTTTAATAGCTGTATGGAATTTAATTGTGTGGCTGTTTAACCTGTCTTCTACTGATGGACATTTAGCTTGTTCCCAATTCTTTGCTGCTTTAAATAGTGCTGTAACGGAGACTATTTTATGTACATTTGTCCTTAGGCTGAATTTCTAAAAGTAGAATTGTTGAATCAGAATTTTCTTTTTTTATTTTCACCCAAGGACATGTTTATTCATTTTAGAGAGAGAAATATTGATCAGTCTCCTCTTACATACACCCTGACTGGGGGCTGAACCTACAACCTAGGCATGTGCCTTGCCCAGGAGTCGAACCTGTGACCTTTCAGTCTATGGAATGATGTTCCAACCAACAGAGCCACAATGGCCAGGCCTTTTCTTTCTCTCTCTCTCTTTTTTTGAGATTGATTTTAGTGAGAAAGAGGAAGGGAGAGAGACAGACAGACAGATGGCCATGGATTTGTCGTTCCACTTATTTATTTGTTAATTGCTTGCTTTTTGTATTGCCCTGACTAGGGGTGGAGCCCACAACCTTGGCCTATTGGGATGACACTGTAACCAACTGAGCTGCCTGGCTGGGAATCAGAATTGTCATGTTCAATATTTTCTCCCCTCCCCAAAGATTTATTTATTTATTTATCTTTAGTGGGGAAGAGAAGGAGAGAAATATCAATGTATGGTTGCCTCTTGTAGGTCCCCTGCTGGGAACTAGCCTGCAACCCAGGAATCAAACCGTGATGCTTTGGTTCACAGGCCCGTGCTCAATCCATTGAGCTACAGGAGCCAGGGCTCATGTTCAATATTTTCATTGCTATTTTTTGTTAAACTGTTTTTTATAAAGGTTGTAAAAGTGTAAATTTCACAAATTTTTGGTTAGACTGTATGATTCTTTATGCTCTACCAATAGTAAATATAGTTATTTTAAATAAACCATTGCCATCTAATAAATTTTAAAAATTGTGTATTATTTAAATTTTATCTTATTCGAGGACTAACAAGATTGAATATCATCTATTTATTGGCCATTTATTTCTGTTTCATTTAATTTGCCTATTCTTATCCTTTGCCCATTTTTGATACGTGATTTTATTTCTGTTTTGTAGAAACCATCTGCTCTGTAATGGGCTCAGCCTGAAATCGCTTGCTGAGACCGTTTTGAACTTCCCCCTTGACAAGTCCCTTGTACTTCGTTGCAGCAACTGGGATGCTGAGGATCTCACAGAGGACCAGGTACTTCTTACCAGAGTGGCTGTGATGGAAGAGTCACTGCTCGTGAACTCTAGTTGTTTTTAAAATTCTAACCCTCAAATAAGACACAAGTATTGGGCAGGAATGCCTTAACTAGATGCTTTGTATGATGATACCCAAGATAATAATGCTTAATGAAATTTTGGAAAATGCAGAAAATATTGGGTTGGCCAAAAAGTCCGTATGGTGTTTTTTTTTTTGTAAAATAAAACACACATTTTTCATTTTCACCAATAACTATTGATTTGGATATTTTGAGTAGGTTGGCTATCTCCTGCATGGTAGAATGTTGATTGTTTCAATTAATGGCTTGATTTGATCGCTATCAACTTCAGCTGGTCTACCTGACTGTGGAGCATCGTCCAGCAAGAAATCTCCAGCATGAAACTTCCCAAACCACTTCTGACACATTTGATCAGTCACAGCACCTTCTCTATACACTGCACAAATCCCTTTTTGCATTTAAGTTGTTTCTACTCTTCTTGAAATGATAACATAATACACCAAAAATGTTGCATATTATCTTCCATCTTCAATATTAAAATGCCTATACAAAAATTCACTAATTTTGATGTTTTTTTAAATATGCGCTGATATGACAGCTGTCGCAGTACAGTCTAACAAAATTGTTTCAAATGAAGTTAGAGACAGCTAAGCACAACTAGAACCATCTTACAGAAAAAAGCCAAATGAACTTTTTGGCCAACTCAACAATATTTAAATTTGACATTTAAAAAATGGATTGACAGCACAGCACATGGCCAAGGCTTTGGGACTAGTGGGTTTTGTTACCTCACTAATAAGTAGAGATTACAGTCAAATGTCAGTAACTAGAAGTCTCTTCTCACAGGCTACTCAGTTTCTCCAGCGATGAGTCTTCTAGTTTCTGCCCAGTGTGTATGCCCACAGCGTATATTCCGGCAGCTGAGTGGGGAAGGGGTGCTGCTAGTCTCACCATTCCAAATGCGGACATTCTTGCAGTCCCCTTTTCCGAGTGACACTGTGCCTCCAGCATCCACTGTGTCTCATAATACCAGGGCCAGAGCCTCCGTGATTTAGCCATTATATGACTTAAACTTGTCAAACCAGATTCTGCACTTTATAAAGACAAAGCAGAAAGATAAGTTTATTGTAAGGGTTTCAACCTGCAAGCTAGGAAATTCAAGGCTACAGGAGCAATCAGTTCCGAGTAGCTCACAGGTTTTTATTGGGTAAATGCAAAAGTTATTCAGCTGTTTCAGCTGATTGGTTGTCCAGTGGTCTTCCATCCTAATTGGACGAGGGTAGCTGAGAGAGGAACAGGGATCCCAAAAGACAGTGTGAACAGACTTGGTGTTTGGGGGATTGGCTGGCATTCTCTGCTGATTTCTGAGGAGAGCTATAAATTCCTGCAATTTATGTGAGGTGAAGTTTTTTTTCTTTAATGTGCTTGCTTTGGCCAGCCCATTTTGTTCCTGACATAAGTGACTCCATTTTAGTTTTGGTTCTACAAACTCTTTACTCTTTTGGGTTAGAGAAGGAGCAATTGGCCCTGTGGTGTAAAGAGGCCCAGGGTTTGTGTTCTTTGGGGAGACTTTCACCTCATCCTCCTGTTTTCACCCATGTCTTTGCTTTCACAGACACCTGCTGCCTTTTGTTCCTTATGCTTTGCCTTTCTTTGTGGTTCAGGTTAATTTTATTTTTAATTTTTGGCGTACTACCTCCTATAGGCTTAAGTTTTCAGCCTTCTCTTGGTTGCTAAGTCAGCTACCACTTGTTTATTCTTCCCAAATGTTGATCATGGAAAGACTTAGCAGTAGGTCAACTGTTAGGATCTTAAGGTTAATATTATCCTGTGAGGGAGTTCTGGACTCGAATTGTGTGAATTTGTTTTCTACAGCCATTTCTGATTTGCTGGGACCCTAAGTTACTTCTTTGTGCCATGATTTGTTTATTCATTCCATCTTTACTTTTTTCCTCTTAATAGTTTTACCGAAATAAAATTCACATGCAATCAAATTCACTCATTTAAGTCGTACAAGTCAGTGGATCTCAGTATATTTACAGAGTTGTGTAACCGTTATCAAAATTTAATTTTAGAGCATTTTCATCTCCTCAAAAAGAACCGTCCCCATTAGCAGGCACTTCCCACCCCGCTCCACCTCCCCCACCAACACCTAGGTTTGTGGGGTCTTCTGAAGCATGAAAGGTTTTAGTTTTGATGAGGTCCAATTATTCATTTTTTAAAATCGTTTAACCCAAGATCATGAACATTTACTTCTATGTTTTCTTCTAAGAGTCTTATGTTTAAGCTCTTGTACTTAGGTTTATGATCCATTTTGAGTCATTTTTGTGTGTGATGTGAGGTATCCACATGCCTCATTCTTGTGCATGTGGATATTCAGTTGTTCTGATACCATTTGTCACAAGTGCCTGTTTAGGGGTTTTTTTCCACTTGAAAATAATTTGTTAGGAAGCACCCTGAACTTTTCACATTCAAGCACACGCTTTTCCTGTGGCAGACAGCTTGCTGATAGATGTGTGGACTGTTGTTGGGTCTAGGTAGAAAATTTTATCCAAACTTGTTTTATTCTAGAAGCACTCAAAAAAAATTCTTACTAATAATACCATTTGCCAGGCTTGGTTAGTAAGGTTACTAAAGGAATCAACCCTGTGGATTGAGTGCTGAGCTGCAAACTGAAAAGTCTCAAGTTCGATTCCAGGACACATGCCTGGGATGCGGGGTCAGGTCTATGGGAGAGGCAACTGATTGCTGTATCTCTTGCACATCAGTGTTCTCTCCCTTTCTCCCTGTCGTCACCTCTCTCTAAAAATAAGTAAAATCTTTAAAAATAAAATAAGTCTTTGAAGTATTTATAGCCTTTGTTGAGATAAGCTACTAATTATATATAGCTCTGACTACTCTTCTTTATGACCAGGTTTCTTGTGACCTGTTACTTGGGAGAATGACTTATCACTATTAAATAAATTCCAGAAATGGGCCTTGTGATTTGGATTTGAGGCCTATGTTTGAAGCTTTTTCTTTTCCATGTTTTCAACATCTTGCTTATCGGAATGGCAGTGACCTTCACTATAGTCACACAGACCTCTTAATGAATGTTGGTCTCAGCTGTTCCGGATGATCACCATCCCCAAAGTGAAGTTCACATACCTAGTTGTCTGACCTGTAGTAACTACCCTATCCCAGGCTTGGAAGGAAATCTGTCCAGCAGGTTTGGCAGCAAATAGAAACTTCACTGATTTACATAGATTAGGGTTTTTGAGCATTTAAAGTAAGTCATTACTGCCCTGGCCAGTGTGGCTCAGTTGGTTGGGAGCATCAGGCCACAGCCAAAATGTTGTGGGCTTCATTCGTGGCCAGGGCACCTACAGGAGGCAACCAATCGATGCTTCCGTCTCGCATCAGTGTTTTTCTCTTCCACTTCCTCTCTTTCTAAAAGCAATAAAAAAAATGTCCTCAGTTGAGGAAAAAGTAAGTTTTCATTTTAACTACTTTAGTTAAAATATAGGGAATGTGAGGATTCATTACCCTATTCCATTTGCTTTCGTATAGTTTGAAATTTTTCATAATGAAAAGTTTTTAAGAAGTACATTGTGCCTGGGTTATTGTACATCTTGAATGAGACCTAAAAGTTGCTTATATCTTTGTGATGACTTTGAAGTTGCCTTCTCTGGTTTGCCTTCCAGATTCCACTGATCTCTGACTTTTCTCTTCAGGTAATTTATGCTGCCAGGGATGCCCAGATCTCAGTGGCTCTCTTTCTCCATCTTCTTGGATACCCTTTCTCTAGGAATTCAACTCTAGAAGAAAGCGATGACCTCACTGGGTGGAGAAAGGTCTTGGAGAAATGCCAGGATGTGGTAGACATCCCATTCCGAAGCAAAGGAATTAGCAGATTGGGAGAAGAGGTTAATGGGGAAGCAACGGAATCTCAGCAGAAGTCAAGAAATAAGAAGTCTAAGACCGATGTAACAGTGCCAGGCAACCACCAAGGGAGAGACCCCAGAAAACATAAAAGAAAGCCCCTGGGGGTGGGCTATTCTGCCAGGTAACTGACTTCTTCCCTGTCTAGTAAAGAGTCAGGCAAAAGGGATGCAATGTCTCACCTTGGGTCTGGGAGAAGGCTTGTGGGTGACAAAGCAAAGGTTCTCCACAGGTTAATAATTCTTCCTTTCCTTCAAGGACATTTGGAGCTATCCTTTGATTTACTTCTGTATTTTTCGCCTCCTCCCCATTTACTTCTTCACTTTTGGGAAGTTGGAGTGGAAATAAGACCTTAACCTAGTTTTGTCACTGACCCCAATTTGACCTTCAGGTCCAATTTGACTTTCTCCATGAGGGTATAATTATTCCTGATTGCTTCAGAATAGCTGGGAAAATGAGTTACATGAAGGGCCTCATACTTTTCAGGAGAAATGCATCCTCTGATTGCTTGTTCATTTGGTATTTTGCTATTTAGAATGGCATCCAGCTCTAAGTCAATGTTACTGTCTAGCCAAGGAGAATTTCTGCCTTTGTGGCAGAAAGATGACTAATAAGTACTTTGGAGTGGAAGTCTGGTCCCTGTAGCAAAGTGCCTTTAGGAATTGGGTGGTCAAATTGAAACAAGTATTACATTTGGGCCAGAAATAAGCCCACATGGCCCTCACTACTTTAGCCCGACCTTCTTTAATTTTGATTCACTTTGTTGAATCCAGTGATTGGTTACTCTTTAGGGCAGTTTTCTTGGTGCTCTGTTCCTGTTTGTTCTCATAACAGAACCCACTCCCACATGTCCCAGTCCATACATATAAAAGCTAGAAGTACAAAACATTCATTTTTAATTCTGTTTCCTAGCACAACACAGATGGAGGAATTAACATGATTTCTTTCCCTGTTTGGGTTTTGTTTTTTTTCCCATAAATGTAATGTTTGTCCCCAGTGTTGAGAATAGCTTGAAGTCACTCAGAAGAGAACGTGATAAGGCAACTGATGCCTTCACCAATAGTTAGCTTTCGGTTGTATTTATTTAGTTATCTACCTACCTATCTATCTGTCTATCTATCTATCTATTTATTTTTAGAGAGAGGGGAAGGGGAACTGACTGGGAATTGAACCAGTGACCCTTTGGTTCACAGGCTGGCTACACCAGGGCTACACCCTGGTGTAGCCCTGAGCTACACCAGGGCAGCTTTCGTTTTAGATTTCTCTCTCTCTTCCCTGCAGAAAGTCGCCGCTCTATGATAACTGCTTTCTCCATGCTCCTGATGGACAGCCCCTGTGCACTTGTGATCGAAGAAAAGCTCAGTGGTACCTGGACAAAGGCATTGGAGGTTTGAGGTTCACTGGTCATGTTTTATCTATAAATGAGGTTCACGAGGGCACTGGCAGGAGTGGCAGGTGAGATAAGGCAGAGAGACCTCGAGTCACATGGGACGGGGCTATTCAAGCCCCCCAAATAGTGGTGTCTGCTAGGACACACAGGAGAACTATTAAGGTCGTTTTTCTTCTCTGGGGGACAGATGGGCAGTCAGACACTAACTAAAGCTTCTTTTCTGTAAGAGCTGGTGAGCGAAGAGCCTTTTGTGGTCAGGCTACAGTTTGAACCTGCAGGAAGACCTGAATCCCCAGGAGACTACTACCTGATGGTTAAAGAGAACCTGTGTGTAGTGTGTGGCAAGAAAGACTCCTACATTCGGTGAGTGGGGCTGCCTACCCTGACTGTCTGCCAACGAGGGAAGTTGTCTTTGGGCCACCTGCAGAGCCCTCGGGCCTTGTGGGAGTCTGCCCACGTTGACCGGGAGACTTGTCCCTAGGGCACGTCCCAGTTCCCCAGAGAGTTTTGACACTGAGCCTGGCCTTACTCTGGTGGCCCCCTACCCTTCTGAGCCCAGTTCTTAGTTTCTGGAATGCAGTACTTCTCAGCGACAGTGGGCCATGGGAGAGTGGTTGCCTGCGGCTCACGGAGGCTTGGCGACCAGCTTCTTTACAAGCCGCCTTTCTCTCTGTTACTGTAATCCTCCCTTGAGGGGCTCGTAGGCCTTCCGATCTTGGGTGCTTTCTGAAGTATCCAGATGAGCTGAGGCACTCTCTGGGGTAGTCTGGGAAGACTGTTCTGCATCGGGGCCCCTGCAATGAAGGTGCAGCTGCCGGTCGAGCCTGGGTGCCCAGACACTCAGCTCTCCCCTTGGCTCCTGTGGAGTGACTCCCTTCCTTCCTTCCTCCCCGGGCACAGTGAGGCAAGTGGTTGTGGCTGCCAAGAGTTGTTTCTTTTTTTAAAAAAGATTTTATATATTTATTTTTAGAGGGGAAAGCAGGGAAGAGGAGAGGGAGAAAAACATGAATGTGTGAGAGAAAAATCAATTTGTTGCCTCTCACATGTGCCCCAACCAGGGACCGGCCCTGAAACCCTGGCCTGTGCCATGACTGGGGATCGAAACGGTGACCTTTCGCTTTGCAGTACGACACCCAAACAACCCAACCAACCAAGCCACACCAGTCAGGGCAAGAGTTTTTCTTGAGAGCTTAGCTCTCTTAGAAAATAATGATGGACTTTGGTGAATCAAGGAAATAATCTTAGAGTAAGGGATTCTTCAAGTGAAGGAAATGGGCTTTTTCAGGTCACAGTCTTCCAGAATTTCAGGAGTAGAGGCTACCTGCTACATGGTTTGAGAGAGTTGTCTTCCGGATGTTAAAGGCCATTAGAATTTATTTTCATTTCTCTGATACTTTTCCTTCTGGAAGTACTGAAACCTGATAGCAGGTAATCTATTCTCACTTCAGGAAGAGAGGACCCTACAGCACAGGTAGGCGGGTGGGCCTAGAGTAAAATGGGTAGTATTGTCCTTATGTCATGCCGTTGGGTTGTGGTGCCCAAGGCTTCACGGGCATGTTTCCGTCCAGATCAGAGTCCCAGTAGCCCCTGCCCCAGCTCCCTGTGTCCTCTGTGCCACATGCTAACGAGCACTGCCTTCTGGGTGGGCCTGCTCAGGAAGAACGTGATTCCGCATGAGTACCGGAAGCACTTCCCCATCGAGATGAAGGACCACAACTCCCACGACGTGCTGCTGCTCTGCACCTCCTGCCACGCCATCTCCAACTACTATGACAACCATCTGAAGCAGCAGCTGGCCAAGGAGTTCCAGGCCCCCATTGGCTCCGAGGAGGGCTTGCGCCTGCTGGAGGATCCCGAGCGCCGGCAGATGCGTTCTGGGGCCAGAGCCCTGCTCAACGCCGAGAGCCTGCCTGCTCGTCGGAAGGAGGAGCTGCTGCAGGCTCTCAGAGAGTTTTATAACACAGACACGATCACGGATGAGCTGCTGCAAGAGGCTGCGTGCCTGGAGACCAGGTACAGTCAGCAGTTCTGGTCGGAGAAGGGAGTGAGGAATAATCCAATGACGTTAACCCTGACTGCTTAGTGGGAACACTTGCCAGGGAGGGGGCGTTAGTTGTTTAGTGCAGGGCAGAACCCCCTGGTAAGCATCCAGTGACTTAAAATACCATGGGGGTGGGATAGAACAAGCTGTTTGAGAATTTCCTTTCTGTAGGAGACTTTCCTTCTCTCCTTGACCCATTAAGGCCATATACTTACGTCCATTTTCCTTATTAGCAAGAGAGTTCAAATGCAATAGAGTTGTGCTTTATATATTTAACGCAGAAGTAAATTCTCAATTCAGCACATAAAATGAAAGTAGTAGTAAAAAGATAACCTCAAATCACTGAAGTTGCCCAGTAAATACAGTGTATGTGGTTTTGTGCCTCACCTATCCAGGTCTGTGGGGACTGTGACCAGTGCATTCATGTGTGCTATCTCACCTGCACTCCAGGGTACACGCCCACTGAATGGGATGTTGGCCAGGAGTACTGTTACAATTTAAATTACTGTCCTCCTTTTTCCTTCCTTCCTTGCTTTCTCAGACCTCCTTCTCCAGGAGTGCAGAGGTGAGTTCACGTGACTTCATTCAGTGCCCCTACATGAGCAGTGTGTGCTCCTGAGAACTGAGTGGGTCTGTCGCTCAGATGACGAAGACTCCGGGCCACTGGCTGTGGTTTTGCTCCCCAGCCCTCCCTTTTTTCAGCAGTCCCAGGGCTTGAGATAGCTGAGCCCACAAGTTCATGAAGCCCTGATAGTGGTGCTGGTTGCCTATAGTGTTTCTCTTATCAAAAAACCAAAATTATTTAACTATAGCAACAAATATTTACTGAAAAATAATTACAGATATGCTAATCCATTTAACCAAGCTAATAAACTTCATACCATTTGTCTTGATTATTTCTTCTAACAAACCCTATGAGGTAGAATTGAGGTTTCTTACTGATAACTGCTAACATTATATCTTATGTTTTAAAAAATCTTTCAGGATTTAAAAAAGTTTGTTATTGGATTTGATACTTGTTGATATTATAGAATAGATGTTGTTTTTCAAGTTCATATTAGATATGCTGAGGTTAAGTAGCTTGTCAAGGTCATGTTAGAAGTTGATGAGACTGGCTCCTTTACCTAATTCCCACGTGTATTTTGTAAAATAGCCAAACTTCTCCTTTCAGCCATAGACCTTGCTAATAAATTTATCTGGCTGACTTGGATAGAAGGGCTCTGCACTTGGATGTCTAGGACCGAGAAGAACAGCTGTTGATGGAAGATAGACAAGTTAGTTGGATGCTTGGGAGCTAAGTAATAAAATGTCTGGAAATATCCAGAGGCCACTGACACTGCTCGACTTATGGAGTCTTAGGAGGGAGGATGGGAGTGGGGTGTGAATCAGGGAGAGGAGCCGACTTTGCAGGGCAGATAATCTTTAATCTGAGGGCAAGGTAATGTTTATTCAGAAGAGGCAGAAGCATGATTCACGTGGTGTTAGAGCAGTTTCCAAGGCCCTTCATCTGGCTGGGGAGGAGGCAGGGGTTCATTTTCTGGTCAGACAGCACCAGCTGCACAGGGAGCCAGCACTGTAGCGATTCAGTTACTGAAGCACTTCTCAGGGATGTGATTCGGCATTCTTTTAGAAGGAAGGTGCTAAAGAAATGGCCCACCTTGCCTTTTACATTCTGGTATTAAACTGTTATAAAAAACAAGCCCATGGCCTGATTTAACAACCTCATATAAATACTGAGTATGGTTCAGGATCAAGAAAAGAAGCTAGAGCTGGAAACTGAGCACTCTGGGGTGCACACAGAACTGACGTTCTTCACCCATCATCAGATGTTTGTAGGGCCCTCTCCAGGGGGCTGAGCATCGGGCAGTATTTCTCCCGCAAGCGTAGCTCAGAATCCCAGATGCCTTCTGTTGGATTGTGTGCAGCACACCTAAACCGTTTTTCTAAAGGCATGTATTGGAAAGGGGATGTTTCAAACACATTAACGTAGCCAGGCTGTTCAGATCCAGCAACCTCCCTTACACGTAGCCTTGTGGAAGCCCCTTGGCCCGCAGCATTTGGAGCCCTCTATAAGACTGTCCAGGGCCTGTTTCCCTCAGACCCTCTGCACTTTGTGTCTTGGCAGGATTTTTAATGAGAAGTTCATTCCGCACGGGCTGAAGGTGGTGCAGTGCCACAGCCAGGGCGGGCTGCGCGCGCTCATGCAGCTGGAGAGCCGCTGGCGCCAGCACTTCCTGGACTCCATGCAGCCCAAGCACCTGCCGCAGCAGTGGTCCGTGGACCACAACCACCAGAAGCTGCTCCGGAAGTACGGGGAAGACCTCCCCATCAAGCTGTCATGAGAGCTGCTGTCCTCCCAGGTTAGGACAGCTGGGAAGCTGGAGCCCAGGTGGAAGAGTCACCTCTGCCTGTTTGAATTCGATGTTAACTGCCAGTGCCTGTGGCACGACTCTGAATACTAACCCATACTGACCCCAGGGTGCTTCTGGCGCAGCACGGCTGTTATTTTAAGGGGAGCCCATGGTTTTGAATTTTAGCTGGGCAGAGTGAAAATTCTTTTTTTCTCCCTTTATTTTATTTTTGTGGACAAGGAAGGCCTTGAAGTTATTTTACTCTTTCTCTCCGCTTTCCCTGTGCAGGTGGTAAATGAAGGGTCCCCCCTGAAGTGATTTGTCAGGACTCTCTGGCTTCTGATACATTTCTTTCCTCTTCAGTGTGTTGACTTCTCTCAGGGTGTCAGGTATTGTCAGGTCAGGAAGGGGAAAAGTTCCTCCAGGGGTTGGAGATGTGAACAAGGGTGCAGATTCATTTTCCCAGTTCAGCCTCATAATGATAAATTCTTTGGCTTCATGCTGCCCCACAATGCACCTGTTTGGGATCCATCCCATCTGAACCACTTCAGTACATTTCACATGCTCGAGAACGCTCCCTGGAGTGCCCAGGACCAAAGCAGCAACTTCCTGCCCTGCACTTCCACCCTCACGCTGGAGGGCGTCCTTTTCTGGAACTGGGTCTTCAGCCTGGGTGGGGCAGAGAGGAGGCCAAGCACCATCTCCCAAGAGACCTTTGAAAATTCGCTTGGCTTTTCCTTTCATGCTGTTCATTGCTTGTTGCAACCCTCTTGCCCATAACTGCAAGGTTTTTAGCTTAATCCCTTTCTGAGAGGAAGATTATCTTTTCTCAGAAGCAGTATCAGGTCCCTTCAGTGTTTCGTGTTCCATCAGATTGCAGTACTGACCCCTTCTTAGCGTTAATTCTCTCTGGGAGTCATTTGGTCAGGTTGCAGTGTGAAGATTTCCCCATCTCCTCTCACACCTGGGACACTGAGGTTAATTAATGTGTTTAGATGTTCAAACCAGTGGTGTTTTTTATCTTTCAAAATGTGAGGTCGACACTTGAAGCATGAAATCAACTTAGTGATTAGTATTTTTTCTAACGTATTAGGAAAACTTTCTTAACTTCATAAGATTGTAATGAGCTTAAAGAAGAATTTTAAGGCCAGAATCGAACAAGATTCTGTTTTGATATTGTGCCCACATTGGTAATGATTGCTCTAATATTGATAAATAAAACTTCTAAGCACAAAACTCCCTGACTGTAACTGTAGAACTTTTTTCCTCTTAACTTTATAAAATTGGTAAATATTCTTGGGGTAGGAAACAGTTACCCTACGAGTTTGTGCCAGGTGGCAGTACCACAGCATGTGTGCTCAGGGGACACGCACACGCACGCACGACACAGCTTCGGCCCGCCAGCCAGTGCCCATGGATGCCCATGCGCATCCTACACTTGTTCCCCTGCCCCTTTATCCCCACCTGTCCTCAAAAGGCGTTCCTGGGATCTGAACTAGAAACCCTTGGCCATGAATAGTAGTACCAGGCACTGTGGGGAGCCTGGGCTCCATGCGGCGGGTTTATGGGACCTGTATCTCGTGGCCATACTGCGAGGAGCCCAGTGGTCAACCATGGAGATGGCTAGGTGGTCATGTAGTAGTCAGACTTGCCACAAGGTGGCACTCACAGATTTTGTTCTACATTCTTTCTTGAGCAACAAGAAGCTTTTATATATGGTTCCTGAACACAACTCATGACTTATGTCTCAAAATTTGTATATCCTATTTGGGATCCATTTGAGAGCTTCATAAGAGAAACTTGTTCCTCTGAAACAGGGAGGAGGGCTCTTCCCTTCTCTTTCCCCCGCGACCCTCCTGCGAAGGGGTGAGAAGTGCGGGCAGGTCGCTGAAGGTGCAGGGGTTGCAGTGAGAAGGAGGAACGGGCTCTGCTCTCCGAAGGCTCCCAGCAGCCACGGCAGAGGAGGGAGCCGGGCCATGGCACGTGAGCTTTCTCGTCCTCTCTGGAAGAGCTGCTGTGTAGACTTGGATCTTTCTGTTCTGAGTCAGCGTTGCCCTAAGATAGACAATGGCTGTTTCAAATGACATCTTTTTGAGTAGGCATACTATAACGTAAATATTTATTGCTGCTTTTCTGGTACAAAAGTATAGAAGAGTCAAAAAGAATAAAAATCATCCATCTTCCATCTAGAGCAGAGCTAACTTTTGCTGGTATGTTTATACATTTAAAAATGCCTGTAGTACATGTATTTCAACAAAGGTGAGAGTCGTATGTAGATCCAGTTTGGTATCCTATTTTTTCCCCATCACTTACCATGCTGTCACACGTAATGAATTTCCTGTGTCTTTAAGTATTTGAAGTTGATTTTTAGTGGTTTTCCCTTCCTTTAGTTATTCACTCCCACACTTGAAAATTTTGGTTGTTTTAGGTCCATTGTTAATGAATATCAATGACACTGTGGTGAATTTTCCTGCGTATAAATCTTTGACTCTATCTTCAGTAATTTTATTAGAAAATCACCCTAGAAAGTGTATGTGAGGAGGGAACTCACAGTGCTGGTGTGAGTACACATTGCCGTCACTCTCGGGGGCGTGTATTCATGGGGACGCTTCTCCCTGACCCTGTCGCTCGAGTCCCAGTGCATTTGCTGGGCTTGCCCGTGAGCAGTGGTGAGAGGACAGTGTCCTCGCAGGGGCCTCTCCCACTGTGTCTGGTCATTACGTTTGCAGGCTCAGAGTCCCTTCTCTGTGTCCCTCCTGGGTCCCACTCTTTCTCACCTCGTTTTCCCCGTGCAGTCAGTGGTTTTTTTTTTGGGGGGGACTGCTTATTTAAACATGTATTTTAGCCCTGGCTGGTGCGGCTCAGTAGATTGAGTGCCGACCTGTGAATCAAAGCGTTGCAGGTCTGATTCCCAGTCAGGGCACGTGCCTGCGTTGTGGGCCGGGTCCCCAGTTGGGGGCGTGAGAGAGGCAACTGATCGGTGTTTCTTTCGCACATGGATGTTTCTCTCCCTTGCTTTCTTCCTCCTTTCCCCTCTCTCTAAAAATAAATAAATAAAATCTTTTAAAATAAAAGTTATAGACAGATTTCCCCTGCCTGCTTGACAAACAATTAGTGATTTGCTCTCCTAAAGTGAACAAAGCACAATATTCAGGGATTTGTTCCCACTTAAGGGGTGCAGCTGTAAGTTACTTATTCTTATCCGTGTCTCGGGTAGAGATTGGATGGCAAAACGTGTCCTGGTGAAGTAAAGCCATTCTGATCCCTCACTTTTGACTCTTAGGAGCCCAGCAGGCGGAAAGAGCTTTTGTTCAGCCTCCTATTCTGCCTCTTAGTTTGGGGCCCGAACGTTTGACTAAACTTCAGTTCTTAGTTTTCCTTGCCTCTCTTGAGTTTTTTATCCACTCGTTTATCTTTGCTTCCTGTTTCCTTCATTATGTGTCACCGTCCTGAGAGGTGTCCCTTTTTGTTTTTAGAAGAGAGAGTTCCTCAGTTTGCTAGTTCGCCGTCAGTGCACATGGTGAAGGGGTTCCTTTCCCTGGTCTTTCGTCCTTTTTTTTTTTTATGAAGACGGGCATCTTTGGAGCACGTCATCCCTCAGGAAGCAGCAAGAACCGATTTCTCTGGAATGAGACCAGCGAAAAGAGGGTATAAGAATGATTATTGTTATGATTAACTCTTGATCTGAATAACATGAAACTGATACATAACCCCCCGAATGTTTTTATTTGAGAACTCAACTGTCATTTTCAGGCACTCACCAGGCTGCCTGCTCACGTTTACGCCTGTCCCCAGCCCTGGAGCAGGGCTGACGCACCAGCCGTCCACTTGTTCCAAAGCACCTGTCCCACCAGCCTGCTAGGAGATGCGTTAGTCACTCTCTTTTTATGAGGCACCAAGGCCCTTGCTTAAACGCCAACATGTTATTTGGGAAGGTGGGGGAGTACATTAGGCCATTGTTTCCTTCTAATTAGCTTTGTCTGTTGGCAAGTCTGGTTGGAGGCCCCTAGACACTGGCTGGTGGGACCAACTGGGCATCCCTGGGCATAATCAAGAGCTGACTCCATCTGCACGGGAGCAGAGGACGTCAGAGGCCCTAGTTCACGCATCCCGGCTCGCGCCTCTTCTAGTGTGGTGCGTGCTGCCTGGGCAGGCCGTTCTCCACGCAGACCGAGTGGAGGCAACTAGCCTCACACCCTCCAGACCACACTCAAAGCACTTCGAGCCTTTCAGCTTTCTTCTTTGTTATTAATTCTTTAATTTTTCTCTCTTACTAAATGGGTACCCTGCTGCCTTTCTGCCAGCATAAACTTTCAAAGCTGTTGAGTTTAGAGTCAGCATTGTTATAAGCATGATCTGTGGTCCAGAATATTCCTGAGCTGAAGAGGCTGCTTGTATTCTACTCCTGCTTCTCAGAGATTCCCCCCTCTCCCGCTGTACCACACTGGGGCACAGTTCGGGTTCTGACTGCTCAGGCCACCAGGGTCTCGACTAAGTCCTGGGTAAGAATCAGAAATTCGAGTTTAGTGAGCTAACAGGCTGAAAGAAATGGGAGACGTGGGTCATTTTAAAAGGGGGTCTGTTTAGCTGGTGAGGGGCAAGGGGGGGGGTCCATGTACTTTACATTTTGCTTTTTTCTGTTCTCAGTTCTGCTGTAAGTTGGAGGGTCAGAAGAGTGAGCTGGTGGCCTGGGGTCTGGTTCTGACCATCTGGCGTGTTTCTTTGGATTCATCACTTAACTCTCCTGGGCTTCTTTACTGACCAAATAAAATTATGGGTCGGAATTAGACACACTGTTACGGCCTTCTTCGCTGTAGTGATCTGTAACACAGCCGCTGTTTCTTTATGCGGCACACTCCCTTGGGTGCTGTGTGCCTTATGCCTCGTTGTGCACTCTGCCCTCTCCCCTGCAGCCCTGGCAATGGAGACAGTGCATGGAAACGAGGGAACGAGGGATGCAGGATGCCACGCAGTGTCCTCCCGGCCTCGCTGGCTGGGAGAAGCCTGCTGCCTCCATCTGCTGCTCCACCTGGGGTCAAATACTCTTCTCACCACCTGTGCGCGGTGTGTGTGTGGCCTTAGGGGACTCACATTTAGACTCAGATCACTATTCACCAACAAAGAAAGAGGAGAAGCCTTTCTTCTGGAAACCTCTGGTGGTTTCCAAAGAGCAAATTTTTGCAAAAAGTCCATCTTTATCTTCAGCCACATTGCTAGTGCTGTAAGGTTTAATAAGAGATAAGCACAGAATGGAAATGAGGCGATTTTGCCAAGTGTTGTAGGTGGGAGGATACTGAGGGAAAAAAAGAGTGACTCCTTGTCATTTTAAGGGTAGGAGAAATGAAGACTACTAAATGGAGAGAATTGAAAAGAATTGGATACTTTAAAAGGAAAACATTAAACCAGTAAGTTAAAAATACTCTCTTTTCTTACGTTGTCACGACTGCCTAAGAAAATGCGAGGGGCCCACGTGTTAACACGCTGTTACCCATCTGTGAATGCTAAGACTTGAGGGACTCGCAGGGAGACTGGAAACTGGAAACTCGGGGCCTGCATTTCTTATAACCCTGACTTGCCTGGGACTTTGTCCTGCTTGCTTTTGCCGGGCTGGACAAACATGTGCAAAAGGTGAAGTTTGTATTTTATAAGCAGCTGGAAGACACTTCTCTCTGTATCTATTCCCTGTGACCTGGCAGAAAACACATTCTCCTGTCCATCCTTGTGCTTATTTTCAGTTCTAGAGAGAATGCGGTGTGTTGGCTTTTCTTTGTGTGGCACGGATTTGCACCACGTATGCTAAACTTGGAGTTCGTGTTACGATAACCACCTAAGCATAGACGTGAGTCTCCACTTTCTACCAAGTTGGTGGTTATTCCAGAGAAAGTGACCGGGTAGCCAAAAGGGAAGCCAAATATAGTTCTCAGCCCCCCCACAAATGAACCCTAACTTTATGTAAAATTCTGCCTCTTTCATTACACCCCAGAAGGTCACCTGGAGCCCCAGTTACCTAGCTTAGTTTCTTGTCAGTCAGGATACACATGTGGGCCCTGGAAGCTTGGTAGGCCTGAGCTGCAGCACATACGGCCTCTGAGTTCCTGGATGCAATGAGCAGGACTAAAGTTGGCTCAGAAAAGGAACAGAAGATGACTCCGGGTTACTTTTTCTGTTTTAAATGTTATACAAGTGCAGAGCAGTTGGCTGCCATCCCCTCCCAAACCATCAGCAGAGCTTGACCTTGG